AAGGAATGCATTTAGGCACAGAATGAAAAATTTGGTGTCATAGAGAAAGTGGTAGAAATTTATAGGCTTTCATTTATAGAGATTTGAAGAAGTTTTTCCATCTTCTGGTATTTCATTTCTGTCAGTTTGCATTGCTTCTTTCCTTTCCTTCTCCTCCTCCGCCAGGTTTGGTTTTGAGCTTCAAATTCAAAGAAACCCCAAAGTCAAAACAAAATGGTCAGAACTGCTGACTCCTGTTTTGTAACCTTTTTTTAGTCCAGTAGTCACAGGAAGAGATGGTGCTGACCAGAACTTGGGAATAACTTTACCCAAAATGTTGGCAAAGTTTAGGAACCTCTGAGTGAACCTGAGCCAAGTTATAGATATATAGCAAAACTGTACCATTTTTTTCTAAAAATAGTAGAATATAGCTTAATGAAATAATATAAGCTTGTAATACTTAAAATTCAATATTGATCTGCCAGTTCTATTTGATAAATATAAAATATTGATCTAATTTTGAAATTATTTAAAATATTTATTATTTTCAAACATTTTATATTAAATGAATTCTTTTTATAATAGACTACTCTTAATAATATGAAGCTACAGGCGAACTGCACATGGAAAATGTTCTTGTGGCTTCATTCTCCTTGAAGTTCCTTTTGAAGATTTGTAATTATGAAGAAAAGGTATCTTAAAATTTTGTTATCAGGTTTCGTTTCAGAATTTTTATTGCCATGTTATAAACATTCCACAAGAGTGGTTTTCATAATGGAAATGCTGACAAATGTGATAACAAGAACCAATCCAAAGGTCTTAATTTTATGTTCTGCAGGATTTATTCACAGTAGCAGAATATTTGGTTCTGTTTCAGCACAATTTTTCAATATCTGCTTTCAAATTGGGCAAATAACAGTAAACGATGATCAGCCTGAATGTCTCCCTGTTGATGGAAAATGATTCTGATTATTTTTATTTTCCTTGGAATACTTAATTATGTCTTTCGAATATGATTTCTTTTAGATCTTTTCATGGTTTATATGTCTGAATACTAATAGTAATCTGATAGTTATGGGAAACTTAGTTTGAGACTAAAAGTATAGAGTACATAAATAAATTACCTCCAAGCAATGACTAAAGTGGAATTTAGATTCAGAATGACCAAATAACTTCAAAATTTCAAAAACTAATTAGTATAGTTTTCCAAAAGTAACTGACACCATTAGTATTTTAAACTAGTTAAAGTTAATAAAAAGCCATTATTCATTGATATGTCTATCAATGTTACCTTAGATAATAATAAAAAGAGTATGATAATTTTAACTGTATTTTGTATACTAAAAAGCCTTTTATTTAAATTACAATGATTATATGGATCTAACATTGGGAAAACTAAACAAAAACACATTCCTTTGACAAGGTGAATGATGAATTGGATTTCAAGTTAAGATGTGGCTCATTTGTCTTATCTTTATAGATGATTTAATGTAAGAAATAAGACATTCTATTTCTCTGTGTCTCTGATTCTTAGTAGGCTTCAAATTATTCCATTAGTGAAATTATTATAAAAATGCCTTAAAAACAACATTTTGAACATGTAGAAACTTACAAAGAGCTAAGCATTTCTAAAGCATAACAGATTAAAGAATGGTGGATATAATTCTTCTAGTAATTATGAGAAATAAATAGTTTTTCACTTAAAAACTCTTTAGGTATTATTTACTATGCTGAAGAGGCATTCAGTGTAGGAATAGCAGTACTTACTAGGATCATAACAGACTGAGCTAGAATATGAGGAAGAGTATTATGGATGGCCTGACTTACTCTTCAGAAACCCAAGATGCTAATGGTCCTTGGTCTATATAAGTTTTGTGCTATTTCAGATTTTCAAAAGTGGACAAAACATTAAGATTGTGAGAACTGGACCCCACATTTTTCTTGCTCATCACTTGCAGATGAATAATTTTACTTTATAAAGCTGATATTCAGGTTATTGTCCAAAGCTCTGTTTATTTGAATAAAGGTCTTGGACAATTAGGAAAAAGGTACACACCCTTGGTTTTTTTTTGTTGTTGTTTGGTTGTAGCTGTTGATATTTTTTCTTGTTTTTTTTCATCCTAACATTTTTATGGCAGAGGTGGAAAGAGTCCTAGTGGAAAGACATAGTTAAAAAAAAATCATCTTGGGGGGAAGGAAGCTGATTTCATAACTAACCCAGTCCCATGGAAAGGAAAATTGGGAAAAGTTTTAAATGTTCTAGGCACTTCTATTTTGCACATGAATAATGCTAGTTGAATGTAAAATATTAAGTATTTGACAGAATCTTAACTATTTCCAAAAATATATACTACTTTTTATAATAGACAATATAACATAATATGAATGTTCTTAACCACTCTAACATTAGTGCTAATTTTATGTAACCTATTTTCTTAAAGGTCTTTTAAGGAATTTCTAATTCATTCTTCTTTGGAGGGGATTGGGAGTTCAAGAATCATGATACTTCACCATTATCTGTGTAAGATTGGGATAAGACATTATTTTAAACATGGAATATTATTTTTTTTGCCCTTTAAACACTAACCAATCACTCTTGAATCCCAACAGATAACTTCTTAAGTATATTCAACTAATGGAAACTTGAAATGTACTGAAACAAAATGAAAGAGTGAATAATGAAACAATTCAGTGTAATAGAAGAGAACTTTAAATGCTTATGACGGTGACCTTTATGTAATTCAAATAATCAGAGAACCATGGAAGACAAGTCTCTCAGTCTATTACTACTGCAACAGGGATGTATTTTAAGGCTGCTGCACTAGTTTCTCCCATCTAGCTTCAAATGGGGTCCCATCTACCCCAAATGAAAATGGGTGCAGTTTATATATCAGGGATTTGCAGCTTTGTAAAGTTTTATGCTTTATTTTTCTGCATAAGAGCTTAGAAACTCTTGAGCCTTGTAGCAAACAACTCCAGAAATGTGTGGTAAACTCTCTTTAGATGTACATGTAACCACCATGAAAACCAATGAAAATTAAACATGCTATTAAAAGGATGACAAATTCCTTGGGGAGGGGGTGTTCCTGGAGGGGCAAGGAGACTGGCAGATTCCTGCAGTGCTGGAGAGATAGAGCATGAACTGGCAGAACCTACTAAGAAGCGACCATGGGCCATTTATAGTCACAGACTTCAAGTTCATGTTATCCAGTAATTTCAATTTTAGCGATCTAGTATTAGGAGATTACAGTAGACAGAGAAGACATTTATAAGGTTGCCCTTTGAAGCATCATTTATTTTTAAAAAAAAAAAAGCTGAGCTGTCCATCTATAAAGGATTTGGGTTAAGTTATGATCCATTGAATGACAGTTAAAATATAGTAAATAAAATCATTTTGAATATTTAAGGTATTTAATATTTAAAGGAAAAGTGCTCATTCTATACCGTACAGTAGAAAATTTACTATTCTAAAGTATTCCAAATTTGTTAAATATATTGAATTTCAACTGCCCAGAAAAAAATGACTAGAAGGAATTAGATGAAAATATTGCTAGAATGGTAGTGTGGGCTGATTAACATTTTCGTTTCTTTTCTGAGTGTTGAATTTTTGTTTCGCAAACTTTCTAGGGTGAGTATATATTATTTCTTAATAAAATGCATTTTATTTTATTTAGCGTCATAGGGAGAGTCGCGTGTGTGCGAACTAGCGCGCAGGAGTTTGTACTGTACAATAAAAAGCAAAATAAAGCTTTGGAATAATCACAGGACATTTATCCCTTAGGATTACTGGATGTACAATTAGCTGGGCATTATTTGCTCCAGGTCCTCTCCTTGCTAGAAAGTCACCCAGAAGGAAGATTTGTGGAATGGCAGAGGGTCCAAACGAGATGGTGTCTCTGCACGAACCCGCTTCAACCTCATCTCCATAGCAGGCATTTTGCAGTCACAATATACCTCCCCTTTGCACCTTCCGCCTTTCCTTGCAGTTCCTAAAGGCCATTAAAACGAAAGCTATCTTCCTTACATACACCTTAATATTTAAAAAATGTGCGCTCAGGCGGCGCAGCAGCTTGAATGATCCCAACTCTTTTCCTTTCCAGTGGCGACCCTTGGAAGCGTTGTGGGGAGGCGAAGGCGCGGGGGCGCCCAAGGCCCTCTATGCCGGGGAGTGTCTGAGATCCTCCGCCCACCTCTCCTACCCAGGGTGGGGAGGAAAGCTAACAGGGCTGTTAGCGCTCCATAAAAGCTCAAAGCTTGGTGTGCGCTCTAGGTAGGGGCTGAATGCTTGCACCTTTGTCCTGAGGCATTCAGTCTCTTGACAAGTTAAGATTCCTCGTGTAGCTAAATGGTAGCCTTGTCCCGAAGGGAGGAAGGAAGGGATGGAAAGGTTGAGCAGGACAGAGCAAAAGGAAGAGGAGGGAGAGGGAGACTTGAAAGGACCAGACTCAAAAGGAGACCCGGAGTCCCGCGGCCTGTCAGAAAAGCCAGTACCATAGCAACCCTTGCAGGTCTCAGCTTTTGGCTGTACCCAACATCCTTGGTAGTGAAGCGCCTGCCAGGGATAGGTCAACAAGGACGCTTGAGTCTTTAAAAAAAAAAAAAAGTAAGATTTTTATTATTTCTGAAAAAAAAAAAAAAAGGTAAGGAGGAGAGATTGGACCCTGTAAGAAACTCTGAAATCTCTTCTTTGAGGAGAGGACAAGCTTCCCATCTACTTGGCCCACAGGAGCCCCTGGGCTCGAGCCCTGATTCCCGGGGACTAACTTCTCCGCTTGCCCTTGAGCCCCACTCCTGTGAGGGCAATTGAGTATTGAGTGTATATTAACTACACAGCTGTAATTCTTCTCGAAGGCTGTGGGGAATTTTATAATCCCGAACCCAAGCTCCAGAAGGCCACAGGTTCAGTCTTGGGACGTTCCCCTTTGCCTTTTCAGTCGCACCAGTTGTCTGATCCTGCAACACTCCAGCCCAGCACACGCTCTCCCAGGCAAAGAGGGGGCAGGCTCCGTACCCCAGCCGGGTCAGCCTGTTTCCTTCTTCTCGCAGCTCTCCAAGAGCTCGGTCATGAAGGAGATGTAGACGATGGCCAGGCGTAGGGTCTCGATCCGGGACAGCCTCTTTTCATAAGCAAAAGTGGGCACCTTCCTCCGCAGCTGGTCAAAGGCCTCGTTGAGGTTGAACATCCGTTTCCTCTCCCGTATGTTGGCGGCCTGGCGCTGGGCATAGGTGATCACCCTTTTCCTTTTGGGGCGGCCCAGGAGGGAGGTTACTCTGCCGCGCCCCTCTTCTTCCTCCTCCTCTTCGTCCCCTTCGTCTGCGTCGCCCTCCTCTTCTTCTGGGACCCCCTCCTCAAACTGCGCCAACCTCCTGGGTCTTCCCTCTCCCAAAGCAAGTCTTCGTTCCCCAAAAGGAACCCTGGGCTGGAAGTCACGGAGAAGAGGGTGCCTCGGGGAGACCAAAGACAGGTCTGCGACGAAGTCCAGCACGGTAGCGTCCACGCAGCTCTCCTGATAAGCCGCCATCGCTTCAGCTTGGCCCTGCGTCTCATGGATTTTTCACAAGGAGGAACGAAGCTGCCGATGGGGCTTCTTAACAGCCTTGAATCTGATGGGGCACCATCACCGACAAGCCGGGAGACATTAATATTTATAACCAAGCTGATAACAGGATTAGTTGCACCAATACGGAAGGCTGTAGCAGTGTCCCTCCTCTGAAAGTTGATGGAAGAAGACAAGCTTGAGCGCTCACGGAAGGCTCAAAGGGATAGGCCTCCAGATTGAGACCTTTTCGCTGCGCCACGCAGGACAGTTCCTTCTTGGAAACAACCCCAAGCTCTTACCTGCTGTGCCTTTTGTGTCTGTCCTCACCCCCGTAGCCAAGTGACTTCTCCAGACTCCTTATCTCATGTAGTTCTTTCATTTCAGTTTGGATTTTCAAAGTGAGGATGTTTTCCACCGCAATGGCTTCTCCTTGGCTTCAGGCTAGGAGTCCTGAATCTCGCCACCGTGTGCCAATGCATGTGAAGCAAGTGCTTGTGCGTTTAATGATGTCCTGAAGAGGGGCCCTTCCTGCTAGGGGTCGAGAAGAGCTGTTTGTCTGGTATCCTAGTGCAGCTGCTGCTGAAAGGCAAGACCTTCCATTAGCTTAAGTAAGCATGGCAAGGGGGCCCAGAGCGCATTCCCCAGAGTCGCTGTTGGAACCGGCTTTCTTTTTTCCTTCTAGGGCATTGCAAACAACTTTCCTCCTTGTTGCAAACCCCGACTTTTAAAGTCTGCTTGGACACAATCAGCCTACTACTGGAGATACTTGACTTTCCTCTCCTTGCCCTTATCTTCCTCTTATATAGAGGATTTTATTCGAAGGAAAAGGTTATGATAGCAATAAAACGAAAAAAAAAAAGAGGAAGCTCAGAACATTTTCACCATTTGTGCTTTACTGTGTAATTTCCAACATGGGAACAAGCAACCCCTCCCCCATACAAAACTCCTTCAGTCTCCTTTCAAAAATCCTGTTTATCCTTGATAAATCAAAGGGTAGATTAACTCGCCATCTGCTGAGGAGTCCTTGGATTTTTAAACTGCTGATCAAGTATTTGTGAACGATGAAAAATCTTTACGCTTTTATCTCTCTTATTTTCCTCATTGAAGTGTAACATCCTACAGTAAGATTTAAGGATGGAAATAGAACTAATTGAATTTTACTTAAAGGAGATTCAGGGGTATCCATAGATAATTTTTGAGGCAAGAAAAGTATTTCAAATTTAGTGTGTTGGAAATGAAATTTTATTGATTTCATATTATCCCCAATTTTAACAACAATAGAGGTTCTTTTTTTCTCTCTTTGTTTACTGATAAGCTGTAGTTAATTATACAATGTTAGATTTAAAAAAATGCCCAGTGGGGCAAAGCAACGTGTTAAAATAGTTTCAAAGCTGGATTTTAAGAAACAGCCTAACAATATGAGTACAGAAGGTGCCTGATTTCAGGAAGAATCATTGAGAACATCAGTCTTTATTAAGGGTGTAAGTTGCTCACTCAGTACATTGGACAGCTCCCAGAAAACACTTCTATCAAGTAGGCGCAATTCCTCTCCTTCTTTCTAGCCTTCCAGTGTGTAATCACAGCAAGAATGTCTGGTGTGCTATTGCATAGTAGGGTCACTCTAGATAATTATAATGTATTTTGCATTTCAAAACCTAAGAGAAAGGATTTTTGAAAGTTTTCATCATAAAGAAGTAACGAATATTTGAAGAAATATGTTTAACTTGATTTAAACATTACAAAATGTATACATGCATCGAAACATTGCATTTTACTTTGTAAATATGCACACTTTTTATGTTTTTATGTTTCAGCTAAAATTAATTTTTTAAATGCAGCATTTTTAAAATTCTTCTGTTTTTAATCATTTGATCTGGGCTCTTTCTTGACTTTTTTGTTCTTTGATAGTTTTTTTTCCTTTTCTCTTGCTGTGTTTACTCTTTCTTCCCTAACTTGTATTGTGATAACTCACACAGAAAAGAATTTGAATTTTTTTCTTTTCTTTATTTATAGCATATGATAGCTGTACATTGTAACCTTTATAAGAGTGTTTACACTGTATCTTAGATTCACCCTGAGTCCTTCTTCTTTTTTCCCCATCACTCCCTTCTTACCACAGTTTCAACAGGTCTCATTGTTCTGTTTTTATACATGAATACATGGTACTTTCACCGTATTCTCCCTCCTTTACCCTTCTCTTATGCTCTCCCCCTCCAACTGCTAGCAACACTTGGACAGGCTGTGTTTTACCTTCATGTCCATCATTTTTTAAAAGACATTTTTGTTTGTTTATTATGGTTATACAAGGAGTTTCATGATGACATTTCCATATATATACATATACATATATGTACATATATATACATATACATATATGTACACATATATACATATATATACATATACATATATGTACATATATACATATACATATATGTACATATATGTGTTATACTCTGAATTTGTTCATCCCCTCTATTATTCTCCTTTCTACCTTAGTCCTCTTCTTATGATGATTTCAACAGGTTTCAGTGTCCATATTCATACTTGTATAGAAAGTACATCAATGATATTCACCTTTTTTACTTTCAAGAATTTTTTCTTAGAAAAAAAACAACAAAAAAGAATTCTTTCTTGAAATATGTTAAAGAGAAAGAGATTTTTGTTATGAACATCTACTTTTTTTTAACAAACTTTCTTGCAAAAGGAAGACAATGTCAGCAGTGGTTAAGAAACCAGTAAATTTGAGAATTGGTTTTTCTTTTGACAAGAAACAAAATACGATTATGAAATACTATTACAAATAGCGGTACTATAGATATCATTATAGGTCTTTTTGTCAGAATGTTTAGTCATTCTATCTAGGAGACAGCTAAAAGTAGAATAGACTATATATTTTTTGCTTCAGATATTATTGCTAAATTATTTTCCAGCTGAATTATAATAATTTACACTGTCACAAGTTATGTATTGGAATTGCAATTTCTTCACATCCAGTTCTTTCTTTTTGCCACTTTCTATTTTTCCATTTAAGCTATTTTGAAGATGTGCCAAAATGAGTATCACATTGTAGTTTTAATTTGCATTTTCCTGATGACAATAAAATTGAATATAATTTCCTATTAGACAATTAGGTTCTGGTTCTTTGTTATAAAGTGTTTGCTCAACTGTTTTTCTACTTCTTCCCTAATTTTTAATAGACTTTTATAAATCATTTATCAGATACATGTATTACAATAAGTTCTTCCAACTCTTTGGCTTTTTTTTCACCCTCTTTATGGCATACTTATAAATTTATTTCTATTTTTCATAGTGTTTTGTCTTCTTAATTCAACATTTTGTTTATGAGATTCATGCATAAAATTCTCATTGTTGAAAAGCATTTCATTGTGTGAATATTTCATCATTTATTATTTACTTTTCCCAATTGTTGTGATGATAAAATACACATAAGATTTACCATCTTAAACATTGTTTGAGGGTACAGTTCAGTGCCATTGAGTACACATTTAATGTTGTAGAATCACTGCTATCATCATTTCTCCAATGTTTTATTTTGTAAAGTGGAAAAATCTATATCCATTAAACAATACCTCCTCATTCTTTCCTCTCTCCAGCCTCTGGCGACCACCATTCTACTTTCTAAGAATTTGACGACTCTAGGTATGAGGATGAACAGTGAGACCAGGTCTCACGCCTACCTCCATTTCACTTCACCTTGTCATGACCCTTGTCATCTGGGATAATCATTACTGTGAGTTTGATGATCAGCAAGAGAGCTTGGCTTGCTACTCTTCTACCTTGTTACTTCCATTGTGTAAAATGTTAGAAACTGCATGTGGACAAACAAATCAGTGACAAGAATAGTCCAAGGACATGATCTTTGTTCTTGAGATTTGCAGGACAGAGAATAACCTGATGACTTAACAATGAGGATCAGATGTTCATCACTTAGCATTCTTCACCTGTGAGAATGCACCCAGTAGCTAGTGATCACACATATCTTATATAAGCCATCCCCAAATCAGCTTCTCAGAAAGATGGACTTTAAACAATAGTCCTCTATTTGTTTTTTGTTCAGATTACATTGCTTCTGAATAAAGTCATACTTGCCTCAACACCTTATCTCTGGCTGGAGGGTGGAAAGTGAAAGGAGAGGGTGAAGAGGGTTGAATATGAAAATAGGATAATGAAATCCATTAAGAATTGTTTTAAAAAAGGGGGAGAATAGATAAGAAAGAGTAATAGAGGGGGTGAGTTTGATCAAAGTACATTTTGTATATGCGGAAATATCACAGTAAGACTTTGTACAATAAATGTACATTAATTTTTTAAAAAATCATTGTCTTTGGATTGAATTGGCCCATCCTTTGATGAACAACCACTTAGGTCTAGTAACAGGTACCTCACATGTGGAATCATTAGTACTTGTATTTTTGTTACTGGTTGACTTTCCTTGGCATGATGTCTTCAAGGGTAATCCATGGTGTATTATACATTAGTGTTTTAAAAAAGCTGAATAATCTTCCATTGTATGTATATGCCACATTTGCTTATCCATCGATGGACATTTCCATGTTTGTTATTTCATGCTTTAGCTATTGTGAATGATGATGTTTTGAATGTGGGTAGCCAAATATCTCTTTAAGACTGTGCTTGCAAGTCTTTTGGATGTTTACCTAAAAGTGGAATTACTGATAATATGATTTTTTAAAAAATTTTTTGAGGAACAACCATTCTGTTTTCCACAGCAGCTGTACTATTTTTAAGTTCCCACCAATACTGCACAGGAGTTTCAATTGCATAGTCACCAAAACTTTTTATTTTTCTGGATTTTTTTGGCTTGCTAGGCAGGTGTTCTACCATTTGAGCCAATAGGCCCTCTTCCCTTTTTTTTGATAGTAGCTACCATATGGGAAGGCAGTTATATCTCATTAAGGCTTTTTTTGGTTCTTTTTGGTTTTTGTGTTTTGTTCTTTTGA